TGCCTATTTTTTCCGTATTTCAAGCCTATAAGTTTGCAGGTTAATCATCACATAAAATAACCTCATAGAAAAAAGAATTAAAATCTCAAGCAAAAACCCGCAGAACCTGAACACTAGCTGCATGCTTAAATACTGTATTTACCCGAATGTAAGAAGAGGTTTTTTCTCTCTCGAAATATCTCAGTCGATAAATGCGGGGTCGTCTTATATTTGCAGATTAAGGAATTGTTTCTCCAGTGCCTGATGATGTTTCGAATACTAATCCAACAGATATTTTATTTGTCAGATAAAAGTACCTGATATTTATTTTGCGTTTCACCAAGGTCTTTCTTGTTAAAATATCTGGCAGATATCTTGCTGATTGCTCTTTCATCAGCGGCAACACTGCATTATTGAGTCAATCATGCTCTGTACGCGTGAATTTGAATGTGTTTTGGTAATGGAAGTGTTAGGCGTTTTTCGCTTCATTCGTTGTTATTTTGTGTGGCAGTTTACTTCTGCGAGACCTGTGTGCGAGTTCAGCATAAAAGTTAGTTTTATTGCGTAGTACTTTGTGCAAGTCAGCGTTTCAAAATGGAAAGGGGAAAGAAGCGAGAAAGAGGAGTTAATTTTACACAAAAACTAAACTTGTATCCCTTGTAGCGAAAAGGAATAATATTAAATGTAAAGTAAATGGTGCTACTATGTGGTAGGAAAGGGATTAACTTGTGGGGGATGCTTTTTGCAAAGGAAATCATCTTTAATACAAATATGAAGCTCTGAAGAGAGATTAAGGAAATAAGATAATAAGTGTTCAAAGCTGTATATAATTATAATAGAAATGATGCTTACTAAAAATGACCAATTCTGAAATCATAACTGGAGTAAGGCAAGGAAATCCATTACAATTTTTGACATGATTATGGAGGATATCATTGAAAATAGATTCTTTAATTTCTATTGCATATTTCTCATAAATTAATCAATATTGAGACTTTTCTCTGATGACCAGCTTATTATATATTACCAAAATAAATTTCTAAATACTATTCACTCTTGAACAGAATTTTAGAATGTATAATTTACAATTACTTTAAGAAAAGTCAAGAGTAGCTTGACTTAAACATCTCAACAGAATGAAGTCCAACACACTGATTAAAATCCTACTGAGAAGAGTGTGGGAAGCCCCATAAAACGAGAGTGATCTATTTTAAACACCAAAACAAATTGTACAAAATCTCCAAAGTTCAGGAAAGTTTAAACAGATAAGAAGATGAGTAAAAATATGACTGTCACTTGAATAATGATGATGGTGGTGATGATGATGATGATGATGATGATGGTGGTGGTGATGATGATTAATAATAATAATAATAATAATAATAATAATAATAATAATAATAATAATAATTCTAGTATTCTTTTCCTTTTTAAAAATTATGAAAATGTTTTCCTTCAAAGAAATATATATTTTTATGGTATTTTTATTTTAGAAAGAATATTGTCATAAATGTTTGTGAAAAGATTTGACTTTAACATGGTATTAACCTATTCTAAAATGCTATTAATTGCCATGTTAGAATCAAATCATTTCACAACCCTATGACAATGTTGTTTCTAAAATAAAAATAGCTCAAAAATATATTTTTATACTTTGGGATAGGTTCCAATTCCCTTTTTAAATTTTAATTTTTAATTAGTCCCAACAACAACTAAGATTATTAGTGACCAATGATATATAGCGAGTGCTTAGACAATTATATTATTAACATTATTAATATATATTATTAAATATAATTATTAATAATTATGAATATTATCTGATATTCGGTTGAATACAATAAGGTATCTAAAGCTTTATTGAGATTAGTAGATTGTTGTGATGACTGAATTTAGGGCTGTTTTCTACAATTTCGTATATCGTTAAATTAGGTGTACAGATATCACAAAGTTGAGGGGATGTTTATAAATTTATTGGTGTACTTACATTTACATTTACATTCACCCCCGATTACTCCTTTTTACTTGCTTTCATGGTTGTCTATTCAAAATAAGGTTTATTTTTACGATGATCTGCTCGCTCTCTCTTTTTCCATACCTTCCTCTCTTCTTAAAGTGAGGATGTATAGGTATGTTTTCACGATAGTTTTTTTTTTTTTTTTATTGAATTTTTTCTTTTTGATAACGTTTTTTATGTAGTTCTATTTTTTTGTAAAAATATCTGCTTAATTTAACATAGTTTGGCAAGTTTTCCCCAGTCTACTTTTATAGTTTCTAGTTACTACTTATATATGTATTCACTTATAATTGATTTTTTAATGAATTTCGTTTCTTATTTCTACATAACTTTAATTTTTGATTCTTTTATTTTATTTACATCTTCAAAATTTGTTGACTTTTTATTTTTCAGACGGATCATGTCAACTAGACCTATCTAACATATGTTGTCGAGTGTAACTGATACATCGAATCAGTGTGTTGGACAATGATTTCTTTTGAAGAAAAAAAAAAATCATTGATTGTTAAAAAAGAAAAGAACACTTGTATTTAATTAATTTATTAAGAAACATTTCATACAGAGAGTTCACAAGACGGTCACTATGTAGAGTAAAACACTATAAAATCGGCTCCACTCAGCATTAAACTATTCTCCCTTTTGAGATGTCACTTCTCTTAAACACACATGAAATGTATGTTACATATTATCAGGTGATTGTATGGGATCATGTGTGCAATCTATTGCTGCGAGAACTCTAGAAAATTTAGCAATTTCATAAAAATCTTCTTGGGCGATTTCAATATTCCTTTAAAACTTCACAAACTCGCAACACTTGAAGCAGTAGATTGCTCACCTAAATAAAGACTCTCATTACAATAAAAAATGATCCTGTTGTGAAGTATCGCAGAGCGAGAAGTCGGTTCATTCGCAATACCACAGAATTGCTAACAAAACACAAATTATACATTTTATTATTTTGACTTAAAATGAACTTGACAGGATCATTAGTTTACCAAGACATTACAGAAATACAAGTCAGTATTCACAAATCTTTTATTTCCTGTTCTATCAAACACACAGCTTTGCTAATCGTAGACTTCCTTAACCTAAAACGGGACTTGCAATCTTGTTCGTCAAGGATCTCAAAATATTCTGGCCGACACATCTGAGCAGATGCTTTAAACCATCAAAGAATTTATCATCTATCATCTCTATTACACTGTCCATCATGGAAATACCACGGTTATTCCTTGAAAATCACAGCAAGTTCACACACAAACTGTTATTTTGGAGTTATCTTCCAGATAAACATTTAGCAGCCTCTCCAACTTTCAGATTATTTACCGGATACTTTAACCACTGGATAGATTTATCAGGCACTCGTAAAACAAAAATTGTCAACATATCAGTAAGAAATCTTCTGGAAAAATTATCAGACCGGTGAAACAGGCTCTAGGCCTAGCCATTTATGTGTAAGTTTTTACACCGCCATTCCATGTTATTAAACTTCTGAATGTTGACGTAACAATAAACTGAAGAGGTAAAAATATCATGCGTAACAATACGTTATTATATTCGCATTCATATTCGGCATCCACCGCAAATTTCTTGGGCAATTCAGACCGATATTTTTGAATGGGCCAGTACAGAAAATCTCTAATGGCTTTGTAACAAATGAAATGTAATGTGAAAATGAATGCTGAGAGTTTGTTACATGATGCAGGTACGACGAGACTGAGTGAAATCACAGTTTGATGCCTTGGGAATACGAATCAGTGTTTTGAATAGAAACAGATGGCCATCAACAAATCCGGGACGAATAGAGAATCTGATGACAGAAGGGAATGTTCTTAGATGGCGTCTGATGAAAGACTAGGTACAACGCAAAATTTAGTCCGCAAAACTTTCAGAGAGGACTAAAATGTCAACAAATGTCATAGCATGGAAAGAGGACCAAAAAGGAACAAGCAATGATACATGTGAAGATGATGAGGGTAATAACAAAAACCATGATTATGATGTTAAGGAACAAGAATATAATAGTTAAACAATAACTCTTAACATTCTCATCAACAAGGCAATTTTCTAGTCCATGAGATATTTTGTAATTTAAGTTTGACTAAAGAGTAAGAATTAGTTAATAATTTTTAAAATTCTCAGGAGGCCTCTTCAAAATTAGGGGGGTTGTCTTATATTAGTGTTAAAATGGTATTATTCCAAAAATGATTGAATTGGTTTTAGCAATTAAGTCAGCTGGACTTTGGCATGACAAGGTTCCATACAACTTTTAAAATTTTTATCATAAGAGCATTTTGAAAATTATTAAGGTGTTCAATAATGATACACAAAAGTTAAAGACAATTCATAGAATGTTTTATACGATCTATTTTAATGTGCTGTAGAGAGTATGAACATGACAAAATATAGATTTTGCCAAAAACGTCAGAATCGTAGAATCATTTTGGGGCTAATAACATAGAATCATACAATCATTTTGAATCATCAATAGACTCAGAATCATCAATAGACTCAGAATCATCAATAGACCTGAGTAGTAATAAAAATTCTTGCTATAGGCTAGTTTTAAAGGCACTAATTATTAAAATTGTCAGAAATATTGTTTCTACTGACAATGTAGAAGATACTTTAAGTAAGTTTAGAAATACGTGAAAATAATGTTGTTTTTTTTGTTTTCTTATCATGTTATGTCCTTTCAAAACTTAAAATTTATGTGATTAAACATACTGTAGGGATTAAAATCACGGTAATGTGGCATCATGCACTGTTTGGTGCTTTCATGGGAGAACATTTGTCAAGAAAAAAGTTGATAGCGAACAGAATTAAAAAATATTGTGCTTTTTCTCTGTACCACAAATGTCATACTTGTAGAGTTGCATTATTTTTTAGTAAAACTTCTTGATAACTTATTAATTGTACAGGTTGTACATTAATTGTTCTTTCTAATACTCCAAAGGTGTACATTTTATTGTAATTTCAATTATACAGGTATGATAGTGACACACTATTTTCTATTTTCTCTTACCTGAAAACATTCAAAAAGATGGTCCAACTGCTCTGGAGAAAAGTCCCAAGCAAGCTTTGCCAAGAGATCATGAACGTTCTTGACAATTGCTTCGTGTTTTCCAGCTTGAGCTGCCCAAACATTATCCAAATCTTCAAGAGTAAGAGCACGTTCCTTGATAATGAACCGCAAGATTTTTTCAAGTTTCTCTACATACTGAGGTTGATGTAATGAATCTCGCAGAACAATCTGCAGAACTCTGTTTTCTTTTATCCATTTCTACAAATAAAAAAAAAGTATTAATATTGAAATAACAAACTCTGAGCTCTTAACAAAGGAAAGTACTACATCGAGACAATTACTATAATGGAAATGGTTAAGTATGAGCATAGTCAATTACATAGATCAACAATGGGCTAGAAAGGGATTTGCCCATTGTTTTGCCCACTCCTAGCAATCTTTCAACTTGGCTAGAAGAAGCAAACTCATCATAAGTATGTTCTATGTATTTATGGCATGATGTCTTTTGTTCAACATTTTTCTTTATAAACTCAGCTACTTTGAGCATTTGTCAATGGGTCATAATAAATTGTCATTGCACGAATGTACAATTTTGTCAGTCAAATCCAGAAAACATGACAATGCATTACTCTATTGGATGGGAGACTATTTATAGATCACATTCATTGACCTGAATGTGATGAGTATTAGTGTTTCACCAAACTCATTCTGTGTTAAAAGCATTTTTAAGGTAATAAATTCCCTGGTTGATGGGTTAGGATGAATAGTGTTGCATAAAATAATATGAATACTTTAACAAAAACCAAAAAGTAAGTACTGTAAAAAGAAGTGTAGAAAACAGTTATTTGAAAGCACATTCAATTTGTAGAATTAAAACATCATCAGATTAGGGAGAACAATCAGAGGAAATCAAGCATGGATGAAGTTTGGATTGGTAGGTTAGAGTAAACATTGAGGACGTGAAATCAGAAGCCAAGATTGATATTCATATAATAAAAAAGAGAACCACAGCCCTATTGGTAAGATGCAAGAGATGAATTAATGAAGAAGATGGCCATGTTATTTCAAGCTCTAGCAACTTACAAAACTGTGGGGGGAAAAAAGAGTTGGTTCAAAACATTATGATAGAGGCAGATAATGCGAGACAAGAGCCCTGCCATACAAGATTAGTAGAGTCTACGAGTCCATGCACTTTAAGAAGGAATAGAGAAAGTGTCCATTGATGCAAACTTAGTTTATTCCTTGAATGTGTTTTAACATTTTGAAGAAAGCAATGTAGACAAAAAGATTTTATGATAAATTTTACTAAAAAATACTTACTGCCATTCGCTCAGCAGTGAGCCATTCTTCCTCTTCCAATCCAGTATGCCTGTGGGGGTAATAAGTCACACTGGCAATCACTTTGTTCACTTCATTAAGTGCATTCATCTTACCATTAAAGGATGAGATCTGGAGTAATCTGCAATTAGAAAATACAACATGTGGTAGGCTAATAAACATAATTACCAGTATTGTCCTTGGTTTCACTCAGGTTAGTAGTGAAGAGTTTATGATGCAAGAGTTTTGAATGGTCTTAAAGAATAAAATGTTACCTGAGAATCATTTTCAGTCTAAATATTTCTAAATTCTTCACCATTTCTTCTTGATTAGGCACTCGTGATACTAAACATTTGGCAGCCTTAATAATTGCAGATATTGCATCATTTTTTGATTCATTTTTAGCTTCTTTTTTCAGTTCATCATCAGTCAAATTATCTAGTATTACTGGCACCATTTCCTGAAATACAAATAGTGTGTTAGTGAAAAACTGTCTAATACAATGCAATTGTAATAGAAGTGTAAAATAAATTGCACAATATCACTTTATCAAAACGCTAATGATAATACTAGGCGAATAAAAAAAATTCTAAAACTAATTCTCAATACTTTACTCACCACAATGGGCATAAGATACTTGACAATTGTGTGCACAGTCAACAGTTCATAACACAGTCCAAAGGGTCGTATCAAAGCATAAATCACAGTCACAGTCAAGTTCTTGCCACTTTGAAACCTTTCCAGGAGAACCTGGAAACCATTTAAGCTGCCAAACCTGAACATAACATAAGAAAATAAACTTTATTAATATATAATGTTTATGTTTGCAAAAAATAAGAATGAAGTTTAATTCCAGTTCTCCACAAAATATCAAAAACATTTTTATATTTATGAACACGGACACCCCCACAAACAGACTCATACCCACATATTAATTTCGAGCAAATATAAAAACTTGAATAATCTTAGAATGCACAGCTTAAAACCACTACTGACATTTCCAAATGACTTATTTGAAGTTTTTCTTAAGACTCAATTGTTTTTGTGAAAATAAATTTGTATATGATCGTTTGGTTCTGTTGCCACAAGATACTGTTGAACAAACTTCAAATATTTCAGTTGTGCTGTGATATATTCTTCTGTTTGTTCTTTGTTTTTTTCTTTATTCTTTACACATTTTTGAAAAACAAGTGGAATTGTATTACAAGACCAGTGATAGTTGTGGGTTTGGGAGATGATAAGTGTCTTTCCACAATAAGCTATGTTGGAGAGTGTACATTTCACTTGCCTCTAATACTGGCTTTGTGAGAGTTCTTGTGGCAGTGACAGTTGCGCACTTCTTTGGAGGAAGTTATATGTAAGTACTGCAAGAAGACTACATCTAAAACCACAGTGAGTAGTGTGAACTGTCCCTCTAATTACCATCTGAGTGGCAGCTGAAGAGTGAAAAAGGAAGCGGATTCTGAAGTGTTTGTGTGCTGCCCTCCAAATCTCAAGATGGTTGACAAATATCAAGAATTGATAAATATCTTCAAAGAATAATGAGACAAAACCATAAGACACTTGGAGAGACACAAGTTAATCGTGAAGAAAAATATAGTGCTAACCAGGAAAAGGATATGTAGTGACAAGAATGAGGTGGGAAAAATTTTGGGAGCAATCCAAAAATTAACATCAGAGGTGGAAGCTTGTAAGCAGGTACATGGAATTACCAGACATATATGCAGCAAAATGGAATCCAAGCATGAGATCACAGCGAAAAAAATAAAGACAATAGCTGAGAAAGTGTACTCTAATCTTGAAACCAACTCAGCAATTATTGCAGAGATTGAGAGTGACAAAAAAGAAAAGTTATTCTTGAAGGTGCACGGGGGTAGAGATTGTGAAGTGATGCAGACAGATCATGTTGAGACCTGAGAACAGTAAAAAATGTGTTCAATGGGAAGGGACTCCACTCTGAAGTCCATATTTTTCGTGCAGAGAGACAGGGTGTATTGATAAAAGTGGATCTATATCACAACCAATCAAAGCTCAGGATATTTTCTTGAATGGCAAAAACATTATTGCACAGTATTAGGGTAAACAAAGACATGAAAAGGTTAAAACTGAAAAATCCTACAAGAGAGCTGTTGAACAAATAAAAGAGAGACCCTAATCTTACCATATGATACAAGAATGGTTCTTCTCAAATCATCAGTAACAAGAGGAACAACAAAAAGAAGCAACAGGAAAAGAAATAAACATTAAATTTATGAACACACATCTCTCTTCTCACTAAATTTGATCAATTCATCTTAGAAGTACTAAGTGTTGACATCATCAACATAATAACAAACTAGTGATACAACAACACATACATACTTCGTCGCATTATTTCTCAATTTACTATTTTCAAAAACTCAAGAGTTCAACGAAAACAAGAATTGTGCTATTCTTTTATGCATCCCTTCTTCTATTTGTGGAAAAAATTTAAGAAAACATTTGAAAATGTTTTTGAAAAAAAGTTTTTATTTTAGAAATTGCATAAATTTTATGTGAATACTACCAGTTTTCTAAAAAAATAAAAACTACATATGACATTTTTTAAAGAGACGACTTTTTACAACAGTTTTTGTCTGAGGCAAAAATTTCAATGTTCAATTTTGTAGTTTTAAAATGTTCCCCTTTGTAATTTTCGAAAAACCGAGCGATTCCCGAAAGGGGGACTAGTGCCACATTTCTTATCGTCCCTTACTACATATGAAAAGAAAATTTTAAGAAAAATTAGGCACGGTTTTTGAGAAAAAACTTAATTATTTAAAATTGCCGTATTTTGCACACAATTAAGGGGGAAAATCTTCATCTTCAATACTGTAGTACGAAGACGACAACATATATTTGCTATTTTCGAAAAATATGGGATTTCTACGAACACGAGACATTCTCTTAAGCATCATTTACGCTACCCAAGGACGACGTTTAATCAAAGAAATTGGTGCCATTTTTTCAGAAAATTTTGAAAATGTTTTTGAGGTGTCATGTAAAGTACCATCAAAAAAAAAATTATCCGTTTAAAACTCCCAAAGCCTCGAGTTCGATCAGATCGGTCAGGAAATATCAATTTTGAATAAAATTAACGAGCGGTTTAGGCACTAGGTTTGACATTAGCGAGCGGTTTAGGCACTAGGTAGACATTTAAAAAATCAACAAATAAAAATTGAGTGACTATTTTAGCTGTGCTACTTTTTTAACAAATAATATCTAGTTATATAACTTATATTTTCCCTCGACTAACAATTCTTCTACAAATTCCCTGATTTTTCTCGACTTTTTCTGGGCAATGAAATTCTCTTATTTTTCCCAGTTTGCCCTCTTTTCCGTAATGGGACTACCCTGATAAACCTGAATTTTACCCTGATTATTTCTTAATCTGTTCACTATAGAATAACCAGCAATACTCGATCTGGTGCTAACTACTGATGATAATATTATTACCCTTCTTAACTTGAGAGCAAATGAGGACTTGAGTGGCCACTCGGTCACCGTCACAGATCTTGAGGCTGAGATTTATACTGGAGACAAGCATGAAAAAAAACTCATTGAAGTGGAGCTACTTTAGAGCACGTGGGGAGAGATGATCTGGAAATCGAATGAGAGTTTTCGTGATGCGACACAAATGCTTACAAAATTGCATTTCGTAGAGCTGGCTATAAGGGAAGTCCAGGTAAACTTTCAATCTCCATCCTTTTGATAGTGATAACAGATAACCGATGATTTTTAACATAATTCACAAAGTGAAGAAACTTTGTAAATTAAAATGTGGAAACTCAAAGACAAAATTTTACGAGTACTTCATATTTTTCTTACAGCACATGTAATTGTAAACACGTTGAATATTTTCTTGATTTATATATATTTCTTCAAACTCTAAGAGACTGCATCATCATAATCAGTTCAACTACAATAAATTACTGATATAAATAATAACAGTGAAATTTTCAATAAGCGACCACTGCTGGTTTCAGAAAAAAAGGTATTTTAGATAGTGGCACTGGAAAAAGTTTTAAATAGAGATGGCAAACGATGGCCCGTTCATTTACGAGTTCCTTAGTTTTATTGTTGAACTACTTTCAATTGCCTGTTTTTTGACAAGGTTTTAATATGTCAACACCAATAACAATGCCACAGTAATGATGATATGTAATATTGTCTGAAATTTTTCCAAAATGTGAAATATTACCATAAACGAAAACAAATTTTAAATTTTTATCTGTTCCGCCAGATAAGAGATATTAAAGTTGAACATTTTCAAAATATACAAAATTCCAATTTCTAACGTACAATTTTTAGTAGTAGTCGCGCAACTTTTCTTGGACGATGGATTGAATAAATGCGGGTAGAGAGGGGGTATTAATTACGAAATCGACCAATAGATTTTATGAAGCAATGCCAATCTCTGGAGAATCAGTTATGATTTCACAACGTTCTCCATAATTTGCGTTTAAACTTTCTCAGGAGTTCCAGGTATCTCATGGGCAGGAGTAGGAGTAGGAGTAGGGGGAGGAGGAGGAGGAGGAGCAGGGGGAGGAGGAGGTCGGGGTAAGTAGGAATAGGTGGGGGGAGTAGGTGGGGGAGTAGGAGTAGGAGTAGGGAAGGAGGAGTAGGGAAGGAGGAGTAGGGGGAGGAGTAGGAGGAAGACGAGAACGACCTACATAGAGTAACCTACATATATCTTATTTGAGTGACGTTTGAATTCCAGACAT